TTTTTTTTTTTTTTTTCTTCTCCTCAGAAACGAATATAATCTTCCGACGAAACTGCGCTCGTCTCGATAGACAAGGCTCGTTCACGAAGCAAGCGAAACTATGAAACATTTGAAACAATGATTTTCCAATTATTCTGAAATATAATTACCTATAAATCAGGCGGTTCACTTCCTCTCCTCGGACAAACTCTGCCCCTGAGGGATGGTCACAGTCTCGGAACAACACTTGGAAACCAGATGTCGGGGGACATTCGCGATACTCTACTCGACAAGTTGTCATCTTGATCTTCATCTTCAATCTCGGTGTCGATCGTATAAGGGAAGGAAACCGCGGTGAACCCGGTGAGCAAGGAAAACTCGGAATCTTGACGATGAAGGAAGAGGGACCGACGCAAGCTCGCGACGAGGCGATCGGAGGAGAACCAGCGAAGAGGAGACACGACTGTCGGACGACTGTCGGCCGCGTGGGCGGACTGGCAGGCCTCGTACTTCCGCGAAGATCGACCAACCGTCGTGAGATCGTAAAATGGTCCCGTGCATGGATTGGCCGGGGAAACGTAGGAAAGGCGGCGACCAATGTCCTCTGTCATTGAAAAAAAAAGAAGCCTAACCCGCCAGTGAGATGGTTGACGCGGGGGTCATGGGGATCCTGGGTGGCCAATCGACGATTTCGCCGCCGACGGCTGGCATCGGACCATTGCTGCCGCCATGCTGCCCCCGGTGCTTTCCTAAGTTTAGAGTTTAATTAGCACCCGGGCTATACCGGGAGAACCTGTGGCCGCACAAACCGCATCGATTGGACGTGGCCTAGCGTCGTAGGAAACGGCCGAGAAGAATAAACGTCGAACAGAGACGACGATATGTCAGCAGTCAGTCCTCGGCTACGTTCTTCGCCGACTAGTGTGAAATATCGCGCCCAAGTGTTACGAGTGCACGGCCACGCGGCCGCGGGACCGGGATACTCTCTCGTATCGAATAGATCCTCCGTCTTCCTTCTTCCTACATTACTATTCGTCCCCTTTTTTCCCGCTCCCGGGAAGCTTCTTCTCCTCTTCTTCCTCTTCCTCTTTCTTATTCTCCTTTGTGCGATTGTTAACTTCGTCAAGTGTTATTAGTTATT